AGCTACGGGTGATCTCTCCCAGCTGCTTTGAAAAACAGTGACAATTTAAATCTTAAGTGGCCAACAGGATTTTGGAAAAATAAATTATGATTCATACTGTTGCTGCTATTTTTGTAGATACAAGTTTGCCAGCAAAAGGTGGTTGTTTAAACAAACAAACAAAAAAAGACCAGAAAACAACATGATTATATTTTCAAGAAAAAATTAAATACATACACATTTCTTACACTCAGAGGAACTACAATTCTTTGATTCTAACTCCCGAACAGTTTAAAGATAGCATTACCACTTTCTTACTTTTGTTTTTTTGGCCTCGGCCGGGTTTGAACCCACCACCTCCAATATATGGGCCTGGTGCCCTACTCCTTGAGCCACAGGTACTGCCCCAGTATTACCACTTTCATAATAACTTTTCAGGAAAAAACCCTCAATGTCAATACTGTTCATCAGGCATTCTGCTGTGGGGAACTGCCCTCAAATCCTTCCAGCCACCATGAGACAGTTATCACCACCAGCTTCGTCTGCACAGAGGTGACACATCAGGTAAGAAGTCTGTGGTGACAGAGCTGGTGCTGGGCCTGTCCCCAGGCTCCTGGCTTCCTCCCACTCCTCCACGGCACTTTTCATACAGACAAAGATAGATTCAAGAAGGAGTGGGGAAAAGTAATACGGCAAACTTAAACTACACATATTCAAAACTGAGGAAAGATGGGAGATAGAGGAATTAGGAGAAGATGGGGAGTCTCTGTCAGCTGTGTAGGACAGGAGGGAAAGGCAACAGAGCACGTGAAGGTAAAGGACACAAGCAGAACAGAAGGTGGGGTGGGAGGCCAGGCTCCAAGTCAGGCAGAACAAGCCTCAGCCCCCTGCTACTGTTACCTGTGTGACTCTGCAGGGGTTTTGCCTTCCAAAGTCAAACAGGAGTTACTTTCCAGGTAAAGGTTAAAGGAGACAGTATCTGTGACGTGCTTTGTAGTACTGCTACCTACTATTTGTTAAGACCCTTCCACTGGGATAAAAGAGAGGCAGCGAGTTAAGTACACAGCTGGTCTGTGTCATTGTTTTCTGCCTAATCACCTGTCGATACTGCTTTTTATGTTATATCAAATGTAAATGGCACAGATATCTGAAAAAGGATCAAAAATTATGTAAGGTACATACCTGTACTTTCGTGAAAGTTCTTATTATTAATTATTATACATAAACCCATTTCAGGATAATCCATTTTATATCTAGTGTCCAAGGATATTCCAGAGTCCATTGATTTGCTTCCATGGATGATCTTTCTGTTTGGAAATCACACAATAGTTTACCAGGGTAGAAATGACCAATCTTTCCATTTACATTAACACAACTTTTATAACTCACAAGAAGCATCAACATTCCTTAAGATGGCCGGACTTTGTGCTTCAGGCTTTTCCTCATTTAAATTTCACACGAGCACATTTTATAGATGAGGAAATGATGCGCCACAAGGCCAGTGAAAGCTGAAGGCTACGCAGATGCCATGTCAAAGCCCAGAAGGAGGCTCAGTGCCTCTGGCTCAAGTGGCCAAGGCGCCAGCCACATACACCTAAGGTGGCGGGTTCGAATCCAGCC